CTTAGGGCTTAGGGTTTACCATTGGGGTAATAAGGGGTCCCATTGTTGTAACATTAGGGTTATATTGGGGTTATATGGGGATAATGGGTTTAGGGTCATGCGTATTGAAACTTCTTTGGGTGCACAAGGCTGAAACCCGGCTGCGAGAGTAAGCACGTCAAAGCTTGCAGGGAAGCGACTGCAGGCTTGTGAACTAGACCCTTCTCTGGAATCAAAATCCCACAAACGACTTGGACCTGCTAGCTGCCTAGCTTGCTTGGGATCAGCATCTGCGCCCTTTGCAAGAGCTGTGTTTGATTGTAATGAAATTCTGTATAGATATTCAACATTGGATAAGCATGTTTATCACGGAGTTGGCTGCGGTTTCGGACCTTGTGGTCCTGCCATTGCGTATTTCTTCTTACGGCTTTCTTAACACATGCCATGTGCTGCTGACGTATTGGGGCTCGCAACGCAAACTCCTAAGCAACGCAAACTCCTAAGCGGAGGGCATGGATTTCGCCATACCAGCCCTAAGTGACTTCTGACTGCAAATAGGCGTCCACCACCCAGCGACCTGACAGCTGACAAGACTGAGGGTTTTTCGTTCCACGCCTAGGTGGTCTGTCAGTTCAGATCAAGAGGTGGCTGTTCTTGCTGCTGCCCCTACCAAATTGGAAATGAGTCCTAACGAATGAATCACTTTATTCCAATCACTGCAAGCAGGCAACATGTCCGATCCAGATGTCAGCTGGCTTCAGAAGGTATTCTGCCCAAGCACTTGCGAACTTCCACGTTATCCCACATAGTCCCCATGATTCCACGTATAATCCCTATATGTCCCTATATATCGTATCCAACTCTGCCAAGGAACGGGACTCCCGCCGAGGGAACAAGGACAAGCTGCGCGCCTGGACAGGTTCCAACAAAAGACATGTATGCATAGCTATAGTCTAAACTCCTTAAAGGGGTCTTCTTAAGGGGGATACTAGGAGTTTAGACTGTAGCTCATACGGGAGTTTCCGGTGTCCCCAAATGAAAGATTATTTCTAGTATATTGGGGTCTAGTAGTCCAGTGGGGTTCCCCCAATTTATAGAAACTACGTACCATAGATCACCCTGCACCCACCTTGCATTGGCTTATAGTCCCCCTTAAGTAGATAGAATATAGCTTTGGGTATATTATAATAAGATCCCCATATACCCCATATTCTATCTACTTAAGGGGGACTGTAACTTTACAAATCCAGATTGCGGCTGAGAAGCTTCGCCCTCAAGCTGCTCATTGGGATGCAAGGCGCTCCAATCCGCAGCTCTGGCAAGGTCCAGGGCCCACAGGTCCAGCAGCTCCTGTGGGGTAATATTGAGATAATAGAAAAGAAAATGGAAACTACTATAATGGAACATGGGGATTATAAGGCATATATTGGGTTTATGTTGGGATAATGGAAAAGAAAATGGAAACTACTCTTATAGGTTATTTATTGGAGTAATATTGGGATAAGTGTTCCTGGCGTGTTCTCATCGTTCTGCAGTACCTTCGCCTTCAGCTGAACTCTTTCGGCCATGAACCAGATCCCCTACAGGATCCCAAAAATTGGAACCACCTAATAATCCCCTAGTTTCCCGAATGTAGTAATGGGTTCATATTGGGGGGGTTCCATTTGTTGGATCCTTTAGGGGGTCTGGGCAACTGATAGCTGCAACCCATGCGAAGTCCTTGCTGCGACCCTGCTCGTGCAGAAAGAGAGCAAAGTCGGCCTGGGCAAAAGCGACCAGCAAGCTGTCTATGGCCACATCTCGGGTTCACATATCACATCACACACAGGCTTAACATGCTTTGCCAACTGTTTCTTTGTGCCAAGCAATGCCATCTTTGTGCGGGCACGTGGTATGCTGAGCAGCCATGCATTCTGCAGGCCACGTTGACAGCGCGAGACAGCTACACCTCAACTGAACGTTTTGGAGTCCGGCTCACCGCGCCAGCCGGGCTGGGGCCTGAAGATTTTTTCAGGCGGCGCTTCGGGCGCACAGCATCTTCAATCATGATGCCCTTGCGCTTCTCGCGGTCCAGGTTCCGCTTGACCCAGCTACGCACTGCTTGCCGCGTCCGTGCGGCGTAGAGCACCTCGCCAGACCGATCCAAGACCCGGAACACGGAACGCCCGTCTCCACTGCCACTGCCACTGCTGCGGCCCAGCCGAGATGGTGAAGGTGGGACGCGTGCTGCAGGTGATGCGTTTGGAATGCCTAACTCCACATCCACAGAAAGAGAACCCGGACGGCCTTTGGCCGGCGCTGGCCAAGGATCGAGTTCACAGAAAATACGGCAAACACCTCGGCAGCAACAGCCGCTACAGCGATGATCCTCGTCTGCAACACCATCCCCAAGCGACAGTGGCCCGCCAGAGTCGCTGTCGATTAAGAGACACCAAGCAAACATTCCGAGAATGAACGTTACCGAACAAATAATGACCAGCACGCCAACAACACCCACGCACTGAATGTGGTAGGTGAAGGCACGGCCATAGAGCAGCAAGCTCCAAATCGCCAAGCCTAGAATGGTTGTGCTTGCCGCAAGTCCCAGGCAACCCAGTCTAGCACCAAGCCAGTCAAACCACGTCAGCTTGCAGGAGAAGAACAGGCAGCCGCCCACATCTACCAAGATGTATACACCAGCGCAAAGAGCCACCAGCGACCAGAAGCTGTCGAGGCTTTCTGCTGTGGGGCAGCTGGCTGGGGTTTTCGGCCTGCCGACTATGCGCAGCGCAAGAAGAAAGCCCAGGCTAAGGAGTCGAAGGCCTTAGTCGAGGCAAACTGCACAATGGCGCAAGCCAAAGCATAAAGAAAACCTTTGCAACTCATCTTAATACTCTCCGTCACAGGGACCTGATTGCTGGCAATGGCCAAGGGAATCTTGCTCCATGGTTAGTCAGACTTCATGCCTACAAAGCTGCATTTAAGGCTTCCAAAATGTACACGACAAAGGCCAGGAGGCTCCATATAGCAACCTGTTCCTCGCCCTGCGACCGCCGAGGTGAAACGCGCCGTGACGACGTCACCATGGCGGCAAGACAGGTGGAACTCTGCGGCAAATGCAATGCAGCATGCCACTGTCCCAGCCGACTTACATGAGGTTAGGGTGGCGATAAACTCCCTACTTTTGCCAATTCCCTATCATAGTTTCAGGTCCAGTGATGGATAGGACAACCTAGCCTTCACGAGATCACACTGCTACTGCCAAGAGAGACGCAGCAAGTTCCTCTTGCCCAGCCCAGCAAGCCCAAACCCAGCGGCCAAATATCTGCAGGACCGATTGGAGGCGTTCATGGGAATCAGGGTTTTTGAGTTGATGCCCTAGAGACCCTTTCTCACACTCAGAGCTGCCTTACACGCACATCTACAACAAATATGTGTGTATATATATATATATAATGCATAAACACACATGTATACAAATAAATGTGCATACAGCATCCTGGAATTCTAAGCCTTGAGACTAAGTCCTTGGACTACTCCCCACAGATTCTGCATTACTTTTAGAATATCAGAGTGTTCACAATGCGCCTTTAGAACGCTCCGTAAAACCCGAATGATCCCTCTGCAATCCCCACATTTTATATAGGGCCCCTTCTATCCTGCAAATCGCTAAACTCAGAACTAAATCCCATGAATTTCCTTAGCATGTTTTGAGAAATCCCAAACCCTGTATATCTCCCATAGCCCCACCCCTAGAGGACCGAAGGATACCCCTAATTGAGCAACTCCCAGAGATCTTAATGGTGGCCAGTAAACCCTAAACCCTAAACCCCAAATTTGAAATTTGAACTTGAACCCTAAACCCAGGAATCTCTTGGGCCGCAGCCAAGAGCCGACCGTCCCGAGCGAGGCGTTCAGGAAGGTCAGAGTCTGCCTCCTGCCCCAAGAGATTAGGGTGTAGGGTGCAGGGGTTAGGGGTTTAGGGATGATAAGGGTTACGGATTAGGATTTAATGAGGGCTTATGGTTTTGGAGATCAGCTCCCCTATGGTTTTGGAGATTCCTGGGCTCTTTAGCTCCCCTTATGATATTGATATAGACTATCCCTAGCTCCTCAGCTCCCCCCAGAAGTATGGGTAGTTAGGGTCAGGGTTTAGGGATGATGAGGGTTAATTAGGTATCAGGGTTTAATGAGGGTTTATGGTGGAGAGTTCGGTTGCAGGCTTTGATCCTAAACTCTAAACCCTAACTGAGTAGTGCCTTCTTCGGTCCTTGAACCCAATAAGATCATGTTCTGTATATAAGATACGGTACCCCGAAGGAGGACATAATGTTACTCTATATTGGGGTCTATGGCAACCCCAAATAAAAAACTACTCGGCAATAGCCCCAAGGTACGCCTGGAGAGAACAGGCAGGGAACATAGTAATTTCACCAAAGACAAACGGTAATCTTTGTTGTAGGGACCCCCGCAAGGGACCGCTAAGTTTCGGAGACCTTCGCATAGAGAGATACACAGGAACTGTACCGAGAGCGCAAAGGCTTTCTGGAGGAGTGTCACGAGAATGGTGACAGATGACACAAAGCCCCCTCAAGTGTTCTCCCACTGCTGCAATCACTGCGGAAGATCGTGAAACGATTGCGACAAAAACATTCTTAGTATGCTCAGACCATGCGGGAGGCCGACAACTACATGCAATTGGCTTTCCATTCACCGTCGCTCAGTCATGCTCGCATGCCAGATTTCGGCAACGCTGATTCATGCTCATTGGCACGCTGGTGACTTAGCCACCGAATTGAAACAGGGAGTGGGCACAGAGTTGGTGGGATGCCACGTGTTACAATACAGGCTGTCAGAATATGCCGGGACAGTAGGCACACTCCCGAAGAAGGCAGAATAGGCAACAGCTGTGATCCTATCATATCTAGAAGCAGTCGTCCAGGCATGCTTTGGCTCGTGCGCCGGCTGTGCTGGGATTGCAGACAAGCACGGAACCTGGAGGCCTTTCAGCCTGCGCAGATACTGTACATGTGGCTCATTTTCTAGAGGACCGTGCAGCACTGACTGTTTTGATTCTTCTTCTCCACAAAAGCGTACCATAGGGATGTCGCCCTTGCAAGTTCCATCCTGTTTAGCTCACCATCTCCCATGACATCTGCATGACTCATAACCCAATCCACCTCTGCATCCTCTACTTCCAGGCCACCATTGAGGTCGGTGAGGTATGCCTTCAGCTCTTCTTTTGAGAGCTTGCCAGTCTTGGAGATGTCATACTTCTCAAGCTTGGACTCAAACATCTGGCGATTCTCAGTGTAGGTGGACCAGCAAGAGAGAAGCTCCTCCAACTCTGACGCATTGATGGACTCATCCCCCGCCTTGTCATAGCACTTCAGCAGGAAATCAACCTGATCTTCGCTCGGAGGTGTCCCGGGTGGTGTGGAGGAATCGATGTCGGTCAGGAGCTTGACGACTTGGCTGCGTTCCAACTTACCCGTCTTGTTGGTGTCATATGCTTTGATGATCTTGTTCAGCTTCACCTTGCGCTTGTACTCCTGCCAAGCAGCTTCCTGGCGCCTCTGTTCTGCGGAGGACACAGGCGTGGGACGGTAACCATGATTACGCTGCTTGCTGGCTCTGCGGGCCCCCACAATGGCTGCCACGTTGCCCACAGGCATGGCTCACAATGAAAGATGCCTACAAAGCTCTCGTTGTAACTTGTCATACTAAGCCCATGCACATGGTGGTCTTTAAGCTCACAGCCTCGACTTGAGCTGGAAAAGCATATGCCCGCACACGAATTCTTGACAAGCTGGCTGGTGCAACGCAGACATGCCTGTACGTACAACATCGTGACAAATACACCTCTCATCCTCCTTCAGCGCAACGCTGAGGCCTCGGAGATCTGATCCAGCTGCCGGACGCTGTTCACCTCGGTCGACGATGCGGCTACACAAGTCTTGCCAAGTTTAATCAGCCGAGGTGCCACGAGTGTGGAAGTGTCGTTCGAGCCACATGAGCCACAGCTGCCCATTGCGAGCGGCTCGGTGGGCGACTACATGCTGCCAGCAACGGGGTGCAGAGCCGGTCCTACGACATGCGCTGGTCTCCATAGGATCCTCAGAGCTCTACCTGCAAATGTTAGGCTGAAGGGAACGGTGCGTGGAGCGAAAGGACGGCTTACAGGCCCACCATGCCCACCTTAAGAACATTTGAAACCTTGGCTAGCATCTGATGTATGAGTTGTCTGCATTCAGCAGCGTCTGCATCCCTGTTGGTCAGTTAGGCCGCTGTTGTTCTACATGTTCGGTGCGGCTCTGCACAACCCAGCTGACCATGACGCTACTTTTTTGAACTTCTTGTCCCAGACTTCTTAAGTCAACCGCGTCCCTGATTGAGACAAAAACATTCACAGTCCGCATGGGCCAGTAGACAAGGGTAAGCATGGCCACAAAGAGACGGGCCTGAATGAACTGAAGGAATTTGATGGCTGGCATGCTTTCAGGCTTGCTTGAGAGCCTTCAGAATATGCGCGTGGTCTGCAAGGACCAGTTCGTCCATGCATCTGCTTGACACTCCAGTCCCTCAGCAGCAAACAGAAGAGCTTGTCGCGCAAAGGCAAAACGCCTCCGATCCAAGGTTTTGTTTTACAAATGTCGCAGCGTCGGCCTGATTCAGCGGCCTGCAGCTTAGCTGCACAGCGACTGACAGGAGCCTTTCAGCAGCATGGCAGGCAGCACCCTAGCATGCAAGACAGCTCATTGTCAAACTCTCTGCGCCAGTACCGCCCCTAAAGGCTCCTAATTTTACATACAGCGCCAGTGACCTGAGCAAGTTGGTGCTTCGTCACAGTGGCGAATTGCATTAACAAGACGAGAAGACCACGGAAGACTGCAGTGACAGTACTTGCCGCTGGGGTTGCCGAGATCCCTCTGTCGAGCTTGCCCGGCAACTGCGCTGAGGAACATTGAGCGCAGCATCTGGTGCTTAAGAGCTTCTTTTGAGTCTGAGGTTATGGGCCGGGTTCAGTGACTAATGGGGATGCACTTATGGAAATGGAACTGCAAGTGGGGTTTAACCACAAGGGTCATGAGACTTCAAAGGCGGCATTTGCTCAGGAAATCGCACAGCATTGGCTCTCTGGTTTTCTGTCAATGTAGCCATACCACAACGATGTGGCGAGCTCAAGCTCCATCTTGTTGAGACCGCCGTCCCTGGCATTTGCGGGGAATGATCTGGGAGCTAACTGCGGATTGGCTGCGGGGGCAATTGTGGTTCTGCAACCCCTGAAGGTGCAAAGTGGGGACGCTCGTAGCAAATCTACAGACTTAGGTTGCCGAGAGCTATTGTGGCCCATTGTGGCCATCGCAACCCTGCTGACTTTGGCAACTACGTACCTGATGATGTCAGATGCCTTCATGACCCAGTCAACGTCTGCCTGTACCACTTCATGACCACCGTTGAGCTCGGTGAGGTATGCCTTCAGCTCTTCTTTTGAGAGCTTACCATCTTTGGAGACGTCGTACTTCTCAATTTTGGAGTCAAAAACATGGCGTTTCTCTGTGAAGGTGTACCAACAAGACAGAAGCTCCTCCAACTGCTTTGTGCTGATGCAACCATCTTCCTCCACTTCACAGAGCTTCAACAAGAACTCTATTTGTTCTTCAGTTGGGGGAGTCCCTGGTGGCGTGGAGGAGTCTGTGTCTGTGAGTAACTGCACCAGCTGGCTTCGACTAAGCTTGCCCTTCCCATGCTCATCATAATCCTTGATCATAAAATGTAGCCTTGCCTTTCGCTGACACTCCCGCACCGCAGTCTCGTGCCGTTCATAGCCGTAGGTGTACCGGGTCGACCGGGACCCAAACATGCCAGTGGAAGTAGAGACAGCGCCAGCTCCACCACGGGCAGCGAGGACCGCCCCGACTGACATGGCTGCTGCTGATGGATACCGAGAACTGCTTGGCACTTCTAAATCATAAGCATCTGCTGAAGGGTACTGGCATACGTAGAGCTGTTAAGGTGTCATGACCTCCCCTCTACCTGATTGAACTTCAGCCTGAAGCCAGCGGGACCAGCATGCCCAGGTACCATCTGGTGCCATTGCAAACGCGCAAATGAAACCTTCTCAACTTCTAAGCACAACCCGTCAAGGGGAATCTGCCTCTAATTGGAGGAGCGTTTGTTTGCACTGGAATGGCTTCGGTTCGCGGACTTGGGATCTTCAGAAGCACGCCTCCAAACAAGAGGAAGCACCCCTCAAAGCCCGACTGAAACCAGAAGGCATCAAATTGGTAAAGGTTATAGCAGCCATCCTCGGCAACGCGCTTGAACTTTTGAACCCCTCGCCACAAGTCAGCGCTGAGGTTTGCCCCTAGAACCAATTCAAAAGTGGCCGGCCAAACGCCCGGGGCAAGGGTGTCTCTAGTCTTGAACTGTGTGTGTCAGCTGATGATGTTCTGTAAGTTCATCCACTCCCCACTGCACACGTGGATTCCAGGAACCGGCCCGCTTGAAAGGCGGGCATTGCCCAAACATCCTAAACTCCTAGGCACTCTACTAAGTTCACTAAACATATGTAACCAAGCCATTGCTGTCTTGTGCAGCAAACGTCACAGCAAGCCAGCCGCTTTGCTGGAAGCGCACCTGGCTAGTGCAAAGCGCTCAGCATGCCATAGAATTGCGAAGCAGTAGATTGGGGTTATATTGGGATAATGGAAAAGAAAATGGAAACTACTATAATGGAATATGGGGCTTATAAGGTATATATTGGGGTTATATAGGGACAATGGAAAAATGGAAACTACTTTTGTAGTTTCCATTATCATTCTCCCAATATAAACCCAATATACTGTAGCATGCTCGTGCTTGGAACGTGGCCTCCTTGCACATCAATCCAGAGTGCCGCTCCGCGGCACAGACATCAACCACTTCTCCTGCAACCTGGAAGAGGATTCATGTCAGTCTATGCACGTCTGTGCTGTTACGCCACTCGCAGCCAGTCGTTGAAGATTTTGCTTGTCATGCTGGCACTCTTGCTGCCCAAGGCACCCCATACACGTCGACAGACAGCGTAGCTGCGCGAGCATCGAGAACACGGAATCGAATCGAGGAGGTCGGCACTAGCTTTGCCTATGGGCCAGAACTACAATGGCTTGCAACACTATGATTGTAATAGGTTTCTGCAGCATTCGCCCACTTTGAAGGAATTTCCAGTCAAGCTACTCTCTCACCAACGAGCACCCATCCCGTGCCATGGATTGCCGGGGTCAGCAGCGCATAGCCTGACAGCAACCGGAAGTAGACTCGGGTTTGGCACAAGGAGCCCGACGACATCAATGATACACAGAGAGAATCTAAAGTTATTGCAGGAACTGCCACGCTTCGGAGAGAACCCAGTTCTCAAGTGACTTCTGAATGAGCGCTGGCGAGCAGCTGTGCCCCTCGTACCCCGCTTGCACACTGAAGGCCGACTCCGGCGTAGCTGCATCCAGCCACGTCAAAAGCCCAGAATACCAATCATAGACCTGGCAAAATGACATCTTAGGCATCTATTTTGTGCCCAACACATTCTCTCAGGACCCATGCTTCCATCATTGGAGGACATCTCTTGACATCCCAAGTTCCCCTAACCCCAGCTGAAATCCAGAGCCATGGCTTCCCACACTCCGCTTGCATGATGTGGGTAAAAGAGTCTAGCGTCGGAACCCGGGGCTAGGAACTCGACATCAACATGCCTTAATTTGACAATTCATCTGAGCCGTTGTCTAAACCCCTACTATCCCCTTAGTAAATCACATAATACTCCCCTATACTATCCCCTATTTAACCCTTCTTCAAGGAGTGTAGACTACAGTTCATTTTAGGCCAGGCTACCAAGTAATCTCCTGCCACCGGCGTCAAATTCTTCAGGTGGAGCTGCCCCGGCTGATTCATAAAGATGTAGAAGGCCCGGCCCAGGCCCGGCACATCCTCAGACAAAGACTTCTGATCTAGCTCATATGGACGGGTTACAGGAATGCATAGGGTCTAGATTTTGGGTTGAGGGTCTGGGATGTAGGGCTTGGGGGTACGGATTAAGGGGCCAAGACAGGACATGAATGCTTGCAAAAGCTTTCAGATCCGTGTCCGAGTAGGTGAAGTAGTTGTGGCACCCTGCCTTGGTCGTTGTCACTTGACAGCTACAGTGTCTTCATGCAGGTGTCTCACTGCACCCGGCTCCATTCTAGAGACTTGAACTTCAAGCATAGTTCCCGAACACCACCCAACAAGCACGTTATGTGACACATTCTGGGCCTCAGGCTGGATCCACACCTGCAACATCAGGGACTGGGACAGGTCCGTAACAGTGGCCACAGGTTTGTAGCCGGGCTCTGGCACATGAGAAGCGCGCTGCCTGCATCGAAGCAGGACTCGAGCGGCATCACCGGACGATCCGGCTTCAGAACCTGTCAGGTGCCCTTTCTGAGAGATAAATGTCTGAGGAACTGTTGCGCTTGAGGCTGCCTTGCAGACAGCAAACCCGCACAGAAAATTAGCAGGAGGGGCTTGTGCATCCGACACTTGTGAAACCCGAGCTTGGACACCGCGCGGCACTCAGTTCTAAGCAGCCCAGTTGAACCTTGCCATCTGCCCTGCAGCTGGACATAACTCGAGTGGCATTCAACAAGTAGATGCCGTCCTGAGGATAAGACAGTTGGATTCAAATGGCTGACGCAACTCCCGTAGTGGGCAGAGTTGCAGCCCTCTTCTGATTTTGCATTCGAGATGCCATGGGCCCCACCATTGCACCTCAGTAATTTCAAACCTACCCGGCCTCTGCGCCAGACTTCAGGCAGGCCCTGCCTGACAATACTGCCATCAGCGCAGCGCGATTTGGAGCTGTCTCAGGCCCGACCACCTGAGAGAGGGCTTTGAACAGGACAGACCTTTCGATCATCTATGCTCGTTTCACTTCCTTCTCTTTCCCAGCCTGGCCGCCAACTTGAGGAAGATTGCCTGAGTAAAAGGCAATGATTCGCTTGTGAGTGAGGAACTGCAACATGAGATGAAGCCTTCAATGTAACGTCAGGGGCAAGCAGGCAAGCCAAACCGCGGATGAAATCACGCTTGCACATGGTCCCAGCTGCTTGAATAAAAGCCTTGGGTAAGCGAACATCCATGCGCACCAGGCCAGAAATCACAGACCACACTACGACACACAAAGCTAGAGAAAGTGCGCATGGTGCGAGGAGCCATCTTTGAACGGCAGAATGCCGATTGCCCAGTAGAACATGGACCTCAGCAATCACCGCATACACATTTTAGGGAATCATTAAGCTACAGCAGCCGGCGCACAAGTGCTATATGCAGCCTGTCTGCGTCGCTCCAATGGCCCACTGCTTATCGCGGCCGATGTAATCATCTGCAACAGTTCATCAGTTCATCTGTTAAGTCAAACCCGCAAATCTCTTCACAACAAGCTGCCTGTTGCTCTCGCATTGGTGACGGCTGGGTAGGCTGCGGCAGAAAGGACATCGTACGGGTAAGGCATGCAATACCTTCGAAGCGGCCATCTGACTGCATCCACCCCAAGTTCAAGGAAACATGGCCAGCCCTCGACACGGAATTTTGAAAAGAGCCCCCCAAACGAACTGCAATACGGATGTGCTTTTTTCGTAAATTCTAGCGGTCCAAGAACCTCCTCCTTTGACAGCACCCAAACAACACGGAGCAAGGCACTGCACTGTCCGGCCGCTGCTCTCTGCACCGATGGCCATACCGTGGAGCCAGAGATCTCCCATGGAGATGTTCGTCTGGAGGGCCTGATGTTCAACGGCCGAGCAACGTAAGTGCTGGAGTAGGGACCATGCATCGGCATAGGCTACGAGTACTTGCAGACATGAAGACTCCGCAGCTTCGGGAAGCTGATGGCGGGTGCCTCCGCGTTGTCATACTCTGTGCCTTGGCTTCAGGTCGTGAAATGGCAGCGCATCCTGGCCATCCTGGTGCTCCGTACTCAGCCTGTGGCACATCCAGTCCTGCTCGTACATGGCTAGACCCCATCCTTCTTGTTGCGTGAAAAACCACCTGCCATACAGGGCCGAGTTGTGAATTGGGACTGTCTCGCTGCTTCTGCGCCTGCCTGAAAAAGGCTTCTGGGTCTTCTGGGATGGCCGCTCTTTCGGAGGCGTACCACTTGAAGGGCTCATGCCTTAGACCCAATGCCCCATCCACTCAAACGCATGGCGCCAACGAACATCAGCCAAGATGCTTGACATAGTCCGAGGTGGGAGACCACTGACGGTTGTGCATCCTTGGGGCTTCAGTGACTTGGGTATCGGAATCATTGAAAAACCTCCACTGCCCTTCTTAGACTTGTTCTGTCAAGCAACACCATTGGCACACCCAGCCTGAAGCAACTGGTAGGGTCAGCTACATGTATCCAGGTCAAGCTTTGCAGCCAAACAGGAGCTCCCGGAAAACGTCTGGGGCATACCCGGCTGGTTGGGCTCCGAGCAGCTTGGACTGAATGTACGCCATGCTGTGCGGGAACACAGCAGGCAGCGCGGTCCTGCAAACACGCATGAGAGGGCAGTGTTGAAAGAATGTCAAGTGGAAGAGGCAGTTCGTAGGAAAGAGGGGGATCCTTATCAAATCAATCTCTACTTTGGCGGGATCAATCGCGTCTGAGACCTGACTAAAACGGTGCCGAATGGAAGAAAGCTGGACCCAAAAACGCAGCTCTTACAGCAGGCAGCACTGAGGCCCACGCCAATTGACAACTGCCCCACCACCGCCACCAGGGTCGACTTTGCCGTCTTTGGGGTAAAACCAAGAATCAAACCTCGAATTTCATGTCGAACATTTGCTCATCTTGGTTCCCATCTGGAATTGTGCAAGTCAGAAAGTTCATCCCAATCAGCATCAAGACTCTGCCAGTGCTTGAAGGGAATGCCCAAAGAGTCGTGGTATGCCTGCGGTTTCAGCACGGCCGGATCAATCCGTCGTCAGCAAGTGACAGCCTACAAGCCTGCCTTCACTTTTGGCAGCACCTCCTCATAGGTCTCGTTGCTTCCAGTGTCATAGTGGTAGTACCCTGAGTTTGCAGGCGTGGCGACCATGCTGACCTATTTGCCACTGCGAGCCTAGAGATGCGGGTGGCTCTCCGGGAGTGACTTGGGCAATGACCACCATTGTCGGTCCAAAAACCAATGCTTCCGACCACATCATCTCCTCCACAAGTCCATCCACTCCGGTCTACCGCATTCACTTGAAGCATGCCGCCAAGGGGGCTACCTCGCAACAGCATCTGGCTCTCTTCAAGTCAAGTCTCTGTACATATCAGCCCTCTTCTTTCCAGTGAACTCCAGCATCCGATCACCCCACGCTGACATACCTGCAGTGAAAGGCACTAGGAGCTCTCTTTCCGATCAAAAGCTTGCAAGTCAACACCTGTATTTGTCTTGTTTCAAGGACCCGGTAAAGCCCATGTCTGCATCTGACACCAGTCTCTCTCTTAGTTTCTTTTAGCCAGCGGACCATCCAGAACCCCGAAGGCCGCTGAGAGAAGGAACATCTGCTTCCAGCCAGCCGGGATGAAAGGAACCGTACCCTTCCTGATGTCAAGTCCAGCGAGCCGTAACCACCGGAGCAAACATTGCACTGGGAACTGCTAAGCAGATCTGGTTAGTTTGCCCAGGGTCACGCCCGCTCCGAACAGTCTATCGCCAGCCTCGGTAGTGGGGGCAGATCGATATGAGCTATAGTGTTAACTCCGAGTATCCCGCTTCGTAGTCCCCCTATAATAGTCCCCCATATAATCCCCCTCAAGGAGTTTGGACCATAGCTTATATCATATGGAACTCTACTGAACAACACTGTAGCATGAGCGCCATATGTGGCTTGCATGCCGGCACTTCAATGAAGTTGGTGTGCCAGTTCTCCTTTGGGAAGGTTCCAGTTTGCAGGCAAGGCTCGAACATGTGCTGCGCCTGGCATGCTGTACTCTGGCAGGCGGTCCACAAGCCGAGAGTCAGCTCACACGGAACCGGAGCTACACAAACAGAATCTAGCCTTAGGCGTCGTCAGCGGAGAGAAGACGGTCGCAGGCCGTGGGCCCGTGGCGTTGTAGATCACCAGTGGCAAGCCACCCTGGTGGCTCGCCGCAAAGCTGCTCAGTTTGCCTAAGTCGGGTCAAGCTTACAGAACGGTATTGTTGCATTACCCGCCGACCTCGGCGCCCAGTGAAGCTATCCTCCCTTCGCACATACCCGCCCACCACGCCGACCTCCAACCCCCATCCCTCAGTGCCGAAGTCGGCATTGCATTTTCCCACGCCGGCTCTGGGGTCAGAAGTGGCGGCAGCCCTTGTTTCTGCCTTAAGTATGACTGTATGACTGGCTTGGTCAGGTCATCTTGAACAGGCCATTGTTCACAGGCGATCTGCACCTCCCTGCCGCCGAGTCGCAATGCCGCATGCTGGGAAAGACTCCATGGTACGCGAAGCTATCTAGATCCCCTGCAGGGCTATCGCTCTTGAAGCTGGGGAACAAGGTCACGGGCGCCTCTGCGAGCGCAGGCAGAGTCAACAGCTCTCTTTGCTTGTCTGAAGCTGTTCGACTGAGGAGGGCACTGCCATTTTTGTTCCCCATGGCGCAGCATCAACGTGGAGATCTTGTGGGAAGAACTGCCTCAGAAGAGCATCAGAGCTGAGCAACGAAATAATTTCAGGAGTACTTCAGAAGCGCAGGCAGTTTCAGATTAACTTGAGCTCAGCTTGCCAAGGCTGAAGGGTTCGCATGTGCTACGGCATCATTGCTCTTCATCAAATGTGTAGCTATGTTATGGGGGGGTCTTGAGGCAAGTCCTGCAAATCCAGCAGAGATGCTCGAAGACAAGAAAACTGGGGTCTTCGTCATAGGAGCGTATTGACGCATGCCTTGGACACAGCGCTCACGCAACCAAAACTGGCTCACATGAGCCTTGCGTCAGACATCGTCAGACATGACAACCACCTGCGGCATAGGCCGATCTCGTAGTTGAGATGCATTAGCGGGCGCATGTCCCCAAGGCTGCCCCACACCATTGTCTCTGACGTGTAGCCTCCGCAAACAGGCCGGACTACTCGAATCTTCAGGATGCAAAGCTCTTGCTGTGGGGGTGGGCGAAGTAAGGCCAGGAGTTCTGCAGATCCTACCGGGTCCTATGGCGCAGCAAGTCCAAGGCCTTACACGCTCAAGCCTCGGACACGGAGCCCGCCTCCAAGAGCATCCCTCCCCGCGTCATGGGTACGCGAAAGCAGTTTCAAGCCAGCATGGCTCGACAAGTTGCCGATGCGCACCTGCAGGTTCCACTCCCGCAGCAGAGGAAGCAGCGAACGGAGCGTGAGAAGCACGAAAAGTCACAGTCGCCTCGCCGCCCTGCAACCACGGCGAGCCATCAAAAGTGACCGCGAAGCCTCTGACAGCCAACTACATGCGATATCACGACACCGGGTATTTAAATGCTAAGTCATTAGGAACCACCGATGCAAGCATAAAGATGGCAAGAACTTGTCCAACAGCTCCGAGGCACCGCCCGCAGAATCCACCGCCGCTCGCAGCTGCGGAGCTCCTGCGGCCAGGGGTAGTACCAAGGCAGCACATAGCAGCGGAGTCATGGCGGAAGGTCGCGATGTGTCTGTGCCCAGCGCCAGATGGAGTGGAATGAGGGTTTCCTGGGAGTTCTGCTGAGGGTCTCGGAACATGAGCTGTAAGTGTACCAGAAAGTCTTGTGACTCACAGTCGAGGACTCCGTGGGAGATTCTATGCCAGCAACTAGGTCCAAAAAACGGCAGCGGAACCTGCTTCAATCGGGCTTACATGCACTCACACGACACCCATCCATTCCATTACGTAGATCCAGCACATGACCGGTAACGTGTGGATGGCGGATGCCGATCGCGAGGATCCACATCTTGACAGGTGACAAGCCGACCTGTGACCGCCCACGTTTCGCATCAAGGGTCTTAAAAGATGTGAAGGCAAGAGGACTTGTGCCACTGCCATGTACTCCTCCTAGTGCTACTGCTTGGGCGCGAGGATGCACACCAAGCAGGTTGTTCTGTCAGGGTTGAATCTCTTTACCATCTGCATCCAAGGTTTTCTACAGCAGGTGACAGCCACCACCGCTGCTTACCTCCGCTACTCTCTCAACCTGCGTGTTCCCGCAAACCACTGGACCTTTTGCGGCCTCAGGCAAGGGAGCAGTGGATTCCTTCACCTATATTGGGGTTATATTGGGATAATGGAAAATAAAATGGAAACTACTATAGGGGTACTCTACTACAAGATACTATAATATACCATAATATGCTGTAATCTCTAATATACTATAATATACTATAATATACAATAATATACTATAATATACAATAATATACTATAATATACTATAATATACTATAATACACTATAATATACTATAATACATTATAATATACTATAATATACTACGTATATTGTACTTTACCCTGCCGACCTTTGGAAGCGTCCTTAGGATCCTGCCTCGAGCAGGATGCCTCTTTGCTCTTCGCTTCCTCCAAGGCAGCCCCACTGAGCCTTGAGCTCGAGGATGCCACTTCGTGCCTGAAGGCTTCAGGGGTAATGTGGGTTTAGGGTTTAGGATTTAGGGTTTAGGATTTAAGGTTTAGGATCTAGGGTTTAGGGTTAGGGTTATATTCAGGTTATATAGGGGTTACATTAGTTTAGGGTTTAGGGTTTTGGGTTTACATCATGGTGCTATTGCTATCAATATTGTTATCATTACCATGTTTGTAGGGGATATAGGGATCCATTGGGTTCATATAACGGTTCTATTGAGGCTATATGGGGATAATGGAAAAGAAAATGGAAACTATTCTAATGGGTTATATATATATATATGTGGATTACAAGGTACGTATCGGGGTTATATATAGGGAAAATGGAGAAGAACATGGAAACTACTATAGTTTAATGGGATATATATATATATATGTGAGATAGAAGGCTTGCATGGCCCTGGCTACGTGGCTACGTGGCTTTGCACCTTGAGCTGCTTCTCCGCTGCATCTGCAGAGTCTGGCAGATCCGAGCCTCCACTTAATAGTTTCCCAAATTATTAAGGTTATGTTGGAAGGTTATGTGGGATCTATTTTAGGGTTCTATGGGGGTTATCAAGGGATAATAGAAAAGAAAATGGAAAGTACTCTAATGGATTGTATAGGGTTGGGGGATTTGGTAGTTTCCCAATATAGGGGGACCCCTATCAACATCCCCAGAATACTATACTCCTTATTATTGGGACCCCCTAAAAGGGTACCCCTAATTTTGTGAAACCCCCACTTAACTTGTCATCTGTCGAGGGGCAGGACAGGCAGGCGTTTGGATCTATAGTCGGGGCCAGGTACGTTTTCCCACCCCCTTAACCCGAGGACACCCCACCAGTTCGGAGGTTGTGCTGTGCCTACAAGAAGCTCCGCATCAGGCCACAGCACGAAGCATGAAGCCATGACAAGCAGCCCTTCCCAGTGCATCACTTCCCTACCGCCCTCGCCGAGGCGGCACTCGCGCTAGTAATTGAAGTACTTGTGGAGCAGCGACCACAGAACACGAAGACTCCGCTGACATCACTTTGCTTCAGCCATGGCTTGTCGTCTGAGGCTTCGGCGGAACACATCCGCAACGAACCGCGCGAGGTCTCGATAGGCCTCCGCACGACCGCCGGCGCCGCCCGGTCCGGCTGCCATCTCCTCGCAGCCCAGGTCAAGCTTGAAAGCTTGTCAGGAGGAAGCCGCTTGTCCTCCGAATGCTTCTGCACAGCCGTGAGGAACTCGTCCAGCGGCTGCGGGTCCTCGAAGCAACGCAAAACCAGTCAGATTCAATTCCAGACAGACAAAACTGAACAGCGCCCGTCCTGGGCAGCAGTGACGCATAACCCCCGGATCAACAGAATATCCAGCAAGAGGTCGCAATGCTGCAATGTGCCTGGCTGGCATGAATCTGACACACAAAGACCTTCCAAAGGAAGTGCGAAAACATGGTCGCATGGAGTGAAAGATATGCTTTGATCGGGCCACATCTACACGCATTGAATTTCTCTGATCAGGCTGGCGACTAGCCGTCACCACTGCTTCCCAGGGCATTTATTACGTAGCATGCAGCCAAACGATGCCAAGGAGCCTTTGGCGCCGCCCTTTGGCAACGAAAGGCCACGGCAACCCTCCAGAACGCGTCGCCAGCGTGGTCCCGCCAGATCTGCCTGACAGGCCCAACACCGCCCCCTTTTACGGGATTCGCAGTAACAAGAGCGTGGCTCACTGGTCAGGGTAGGTGTGAGTGAGAGAAACGTCTGGGCTTCCAGATCGTGGTCCACATCTGAAGGTTCGGCCTGACGTCGCGTCTCCAATCGCCAAAGCCTTGGCCGAGGTCTACATTAAGGCGTCAACTTTGGTAGAAGTAGGGGTTGGTGTCACCACCCCGCTCTGTGCGCTTGATGCCTGCAAGGCTTTCCTGAGGGGATGCCTTGCAACTGTCTGCAAGACCAGCGGCAGGTTGAGCGCATTGAGCTGCACCTTCCCGCAGTAAGCTGCCACTAAGCCTACTTCCTTCACACACGCCCAGCCTTTTAGCAACAAAACTTCCAAACCCAGGCTTCAACACCCTTGCTGCCCTTGCGCCTGAGGGTCGCCACCCTGTGACAAGCCTTCCGGGCCCTCAGGCCACAAGCGCTCCTGGCAGGCGAATATCCGAAAGCATTCATCAAAGGTCCATTGGCTCTGCCACCTGCCCTTGCTTGCAGCCGAGATGCGTCAAATATCGCAATTGCAGGCTCGAAGTCACCGCTCTCTGTGTACCTTTTTCATGGGCCACTATCCAGCCTTTTGCTGCCATCGAGAACTCAACGTTAGGCATGTTTTGCAGGTAACATGTACGAACAAATCATATAATTGACTCCTCGAAATCCTGCTGCGCTTCTTCGCTGCGCATGCTATACCAAGGTGCAACAAAGCCAAGTGCCACCAGCAGTGCGTGTAAAGGAACGGGTGCAGGTCCTTCCAGATGACCCTTCTCGAGCGGAGGCGTTGCAACCACAACAGAGCCACAACTCTATCACACGCTTGAAGCTCAAAAATTGCTCTCTGTTTCTCAAATCTGCAGCCCCACCAAAGCCTCTCCTCCTTGGGCCATGTTCGACTGCGCTCCTTCATGAAAGACATGGCATCGTCCAAGCGGTCGACTCCTGCAACGGCGTGAAATTCCAAGCTTCTGCGCCTGATTTAACAAAACTCATTGAGGAGCTTATGGAATTCAGCGCTACCCTCATCCCATGGTGTAACATGTTCTCATAATGCAGCGCAATTAACTACCATGTATGAGGTGTCCAGCCTTGAAAGTACAGGGAATGTGCCAGGCTGTGGTCCAGCCAGGCATCTGGGCCCAGCTCCTTCTCGAAGCCAAAGCCCTCCCAGGCAATGCGCTCTGCCTCCTGAAGCCCGTGAAAGGAGCGGTATCACTAGCAAAGCAGCATGCTTCTCGTGGCTGCCGGCATAGCAGGAGTGCACAGGTAGCAGAGGAGGATGAACAGCAGAAGTAGTAGTATGCGCATGTAGGGATCTTAGTCATCAGGATCCTGCGAACTGGACGTATCTAAGGACGCTCTTTGGTGGAATGGCCATAGCTGCAGCTCGGCAATTGTGGCATTTCTCTCCTCCAGCGCTCTCCAGTGCTACAACCGCCACCTTGATCGAAACTATCGCGACCCATGTCCAGCTCATCTTTAATCTGAACTACGACGAAAGCAGTAGCACCTTTACATGAAGGCTCGTTCCCACATGTCCCCACCGCACCACACCGTTGAGCAATTCAATGGGTCTGGTCCTTGTACTGGCCCTCCTGCTCCAACGCAAAGGACCACATGCCATGCAAATATTTCGGCGGAGGTGTTGACTTTGCCTGCGGCCAGGATAACGTGACATCAGGATGCAAAAAGGAATCAGCAGCTTAGCTCTCATGCAGCCCCGGGCACATTCTCTGCCGCTGGCCTTGGGGCGCACAATTCTTTGACGGCAATGCGCGGCATCTACACACTGTGTCCAGCCAGGCAAGCAGCTGAACGATGGATAGCATCTTGGATCCATCACCCAATATGAGGCCCATGATGTGGCCACGCTTTACCTGGGCATCAAAGTGTCGAAATGCTTATCAACCATGGCCATCGACACAACCATCTCTGCAGCCCAAGCTCCGCAAACAAGTCACTTGGATAGCGGGAGACAACCTCCAAGCGTGCAAATGCTAAGGAAGCCATGACGACGAGCAGAATACCAGCAGTCGTACAGTGTACGCATACAGATGCTAAACATCAAACGCAGCGATACTTCTTATGATGCCTGTTAGGATGATAAAGAATTGTGGTAGAAGGACGGCCAATCTCATCCTCTTGCTAACACTGTGCGAGCATGGTGAAGATTCATCATGAATGCCATGACTGTAGGATCCCGTCTCTACTGAAGTGCAAGGATACGGCTAGAATGAAGGCAGGTCTACAATACGGCTTCTGCAAGTAGGCCACCCTTGAAGCAAAGGATGTTTGATTGGATGCGTGGCCTGGCTGTTGCAGGCAATACTTTTTCTTGCACAACCATCACGCTGTTGTTGGGAGCCTCGCTCAGCGCTACGTAGCAGCCAGAAGGGTCTCCCTGCAGCACCCAGTGGCGCCAGGCCTTCCAGGGCACTGCCATCCTAAGGCTTCATATGGGTCTTTCCCAGAATTAGAAAGTACCTCTGTTGAGGTCCCTAACATAAGGAGCAATTGATATGTCAAATATGTCTGAATCGCTTTGGCGTCTCATGGCCGCTTTGGGTTGACTATGGCCCTGCCTCTTGTGGGACAACAGCACATCCCTTTTCTGAAGCAAATACCTACGCAGGCTATGTACATTGAGACCTTGGCACTGGGGATATGTCTACGACCCAGTGCCTCCACGTAGCGCAGCTCGCGCCACGACCAAGATGGCGAAGAAGCCTGTAAACAGGGGTCAATGCGCTTCCTTTTTCAAATATGACACTTCGCGCTCTTGCGTACAACTTCAGGGGTCCACCAAAAAGTGAGGCTCTTGCGCGCGCTTTCCGCACAACTAGCAGCAATTGAAGCCTCCTTCAGCTCTAAGGTTGAAACCATGGGCCCCTAGTATGGGCCCTTAGCCCCGGGATCTTTATATACCTACTATATACCCTACATGTACCATTAAAGGTCGCTAAAATTCTCCGAACAGGCCGAGGGGCACATATTAGGGGCCAATACTTCTAACCTTAGACCAGCAGACGAAGCGTGCTATCAACACTTTTGGGGAACACGTCACAGGGCGGGTGACCCCAATGCTGAGCTGCGTCCATGCGGTCTCTTGTGAATTCCTAGGAACCTCCGCATGAGCAATTTCAGATAAAGACCACAGATGGCCTAAACACGCAAGCTCACCTTTAACAAAACCTCAACTAAACCCAAACCCCAAGCTGGACAAACTCTAACCCTCTTAGCCCCAAAGTGCTTCTAAACCCCATACACACGCATTATCCTCACAAACGGGAGGTCCAGCCTCTGCCTCCTCCCCCAGCTTCTCGAGTAGCTCCTGCCATTCGACAACAATACATACAAGCCCTGTGGTACTGGTGGTGATAGTACTTGTCGTCATTAAAAAAAGTAGTAGTAGTCGTAGTAGTAGTCGTAGTAGTCGTGTTTTGGTAGTACTACTCGTAGTAGTAGGCGCCCCCACCCCCTAGGCACTACCGTTTTAGTTAAAATTGATTATAAACAGGTTGGGGAAGGGGTGGG